TGGCTTCTGCATGGAATAATTCCCTTCCCATCTCTCTGCTCCCAGCTGGAATTGCACTGATCAGCCACTGCCTCTGTCCTGAGGCCACCTGGCTCCCTGTACCTGCCTGGCCCCTGCTCTCCCACACACCTGAAGATCACCTGGAGCACAGGAGGAATATTTGGATGGGAGAAGCCCTTCCCACAGATTTGCAGACACTGGGGAAGGCTAAAGCATTTTTGGAAACCCAGATCCTTGTGTGGAACTAACTCCAGTACCTTTAATCCCTCCGGTTTTGCCCTCCCACCAACAGATTTGGGGTTGAAAAATATCAACTGATAACATAAATTCTGGTTGCTGTGCCCACTGTGTGTAAGGCAGGCAATACCCGAATCAACACAGATCCTTTCACACTCTTTCATTTCCATCAAAATACAAGGCAAAATATATAAGGAGAGGTGTCATTTCAGTGTCAGTGTTATCCTTTTCCAAGGGAAATGTTTGCCACTGCAGCACAGATTAGTTTTTTCCCAGGAGTAACAACGAATCCATCACACCTGTTGACTGCAAACACCCCATATTTCCATACCCACAGTGTCCCATCCCTGGGGAACAAGCTGGAAATAGAGGCTTCCCAGGAAGAAGTCCAAGGCACTTGCATTCTAGCAGCCATTTTTTGTTTTATTATTTAAAGTTAAGAGCGCTCATCAGCTCACAAAGGAAACAAATCCCATTCCTGCAGTTTAGGTCAGGTTTCAGCCAAAAAAGAAAAGAAAAAAAAAAAACCAAAAAAAACAACAAAAATAGAAGGCAGCTAAACTAACTCTGCACTTTACAGCTCAATTCAAGTTAAACCTCCTTGCTTTATAAATAAATGTTATAGTTAACACTGCAAAAATGTAACGGCAGCTCTACAATATCTTGAAGGGGCAGAGAGCGTTGGTTATTGAGGCTGATAAATACAAGTAGAGAAGCTTCAGTAGCACAGAGAGCACAGGTGGTGCCAGGGGTCTGCTCTCCCAAAAGTGGGACCTTTCCCAAAGCTCCAAGGCAGCTGCTTCCCCCCTCCCCAGCTGTGCTTCCCACCCTGCTCAGGGCCAAGAAATGAGCCACAGGGTGCCCAAGCCCTGTCACCCCCCCCTGCACGAGGACAAACCGCTGGAAACTGTTTGTTTTCCACCACAGAGGGTTCTGCTCGTGGAGGCAAAAACCTGCCCTAAAAGCCTTAAAAACCAAGGTGTGTGCAGATCCTAATTCAAGGAAGGAGCTTGTCCAAACAGCAGCCAGGTGAGATTTCAAATTCCACCTCTGAAGTAGCACCATCCTCAGAAAAGTTGAGAAAAACAAAACAAAACAAAACAAAAAAGAATCAAAAGCCCAAACCAGCTGCTAAGAACCCACTGCACGGAGGTTTAATTCATGGGATAATTAACAGAGGCCAAGGAGATGACACTAAAACCTCCAAAGGACAAGGAGGTACCTTAAACTTTCATTTGTTTCTTCTTCCTCCAGCCCACCCCGGTGCAAACATGGCACAAACACTCACTTGCTTAAATAACCCCCCCAAGCATCCCCACACTACAGGTACCTCCTGCCCTACAGGGCTTCCTACAGCCTCAGAAATGGTTCAGACTGTGCTGTTTTGGCTCCAAAACCTGGCCACATCCACCCTCACAGCTCAGTCCCTGCTGACCTCTGGAGCTAAAGCACTTCCACACTGGGAATGGAGCACAGAGGTGTGGAATGGGCGAGCCAAGGGCCTGAACATCACGTTTTTCAACTTGGTTTTAAAGTAAGTTTTTCCTCCCCATTCATAAACCCCGACATCTATGGATGAAACTGTATAACCAGAACTGACCTTCCTCTATCTTACAGGACTGGAGAAGTCTTGCAGCATAGATAGGGCCTGGCTCTACGAGAGAAAAAACATCCCAGCTTTATGCACAATCATGGACATCTCAGGCCTTAAAACACCATTTGGCCAACCAAGAGAGAGAAAAAAACCCCATCCTCAGCACACCCAGCCCTGTGCCATGCAAGGAACTCCCTCAGCAGAGCACGAGCCCCTCAGCTGCTGGACTTGTGCTGTCCCCAGTCTGACAAGAGGGAGGGGAAGGGATTAGTTGGAAGGTATTTTATTCCTCACTCGCTTTCTGTGTGTTGGATGTGTGGGCTGGGGAGGGCCAGAGCACGTGGGGGGTGTGTAGCTGCTCCAAAGCTGAACACTGAGTTAATCCAGCACTAACGGGAGAGGCAGCAAGTCCCAGGGAATCTCCATTCTCCTTCCTTCTCAGGACAAGACGGGAAAGGGCAGGGGCTGTGGCCTTCTGTGGACACAGCGCACTGGAGAGAGCTGGTACCTGAAGGTGACAACAGCGAGGGACAGCCGTGAGCTCTCGAGCCTCCTCCTCCCTGCCCTGACTCGCCAGCTTTGCGGCGACAGATGGGGACAAAGCTCAGCCCCCAGCACCCAGCTGAGGACAGCCCGAGACCTCCAGCTGCTCAACCTCCATGGGGTGGGACAGGCGAGGGAAAGGCTGGGGGACATCAACTCTCGTGCCCTAGTGCAGCTCAATGAAGGCTTCCAGCTCCTCGGGGATGAACCCCTTGTAGGGAATCTTGTGCTTGTCCAGGGCTCGAGCAGCAAGGCACTGGAGGGTGATGTAGTTGAAGGGCTGCATCGTGCTCTTGGTGAGCAGCTTCTCGTCCAGCAGCTCGTAGGCCGTCTGCTTGAAGGCGTTGGTGGCATCCATGTGCGCCCCGGCCTCCATCAGGGCCCTCATGATGAGCGGGCAGTTGTTGCGGGCGGCGACGTGCAGGGGGGTGTTGTTGTCGTAGTCGCGGCTGTCCGGGTCGGCCCCGCACTCCAGGAGCAAGTTCACCACGTGGAGTGACGGGAATTTGCCCACGGGGTAACGCCCCACCGTCGTGGTGTCCTTGTCCACGGCCATGTGCAGGAGGGTGAAGCCGTTCTTGGCCCGGGGGCTGCACTTGAGCAGGCGGTAGATGGTCTGGCGCTTCTGGTGCTCCTGCTCCGGGGTGCACTCCACCTTCTCCAGCAGGAACACCAGGTGCAGGATGATGGCCAACGTCTTGGTGAACTGCACCGAGTCGGCCACGGGGTCCTTGCCGTGCACCAGGGCCCTCTCCACCTCCCGCACCCCTTTGCTCAGCACCCCGATGAGGTCGGAGAAGCCCAGGTGGGTGGCTAAAGTGCCTTTGGAGCGGTCCTGGAGCACGTAGGAGTAAAGCTCGGCAAAGGAAAGGAAGCTGCTGGCAGTCATGGGGCTGAGAGGCTCCAGGTTGCCTTGCTGCATGTCCAGGGCGTACTTCCACAGGTTGATGCAGCGCTCGAAGTTGCCGGAGTCGGCGTAGACGGCGCCGCGGTAGCGGATGTAGTAGGAAGTGTCGGGGTGGGAAGGGCCCAGGATGCGCTCCCGGATCAGCAGCGCCTGCATCCGCATCTCGTCGGGATCCGTGATCAGGGCCTCCAGTTCCTCCAGAGAATTCACCTCCCGGGAATAGTCATAGGCCAGCACCAGCTGCCGGGGCTCGGGTTTGGGCAGGTACTTCCCGCCCTCGCAGCGCAGCTCCATCGCCCTCCGCCAGTACTTGTGGGCTCCCAGGAGGTCACGTTTCTTATCCACAAACGTGGCACCCAGCAGCTCCAGCGCTTCCACAGCCGCCTCTCGAGTGCAGAACACGGTCGGGACCTCGTCCTGGCTGGAAGCCGAGGCACCGCATCCCTCACCCCCCTCTTCCTGGCAGCCCTGAGTCTCCTTGCCGGCGCCGCGGCCCCTCTGATGGCTCCCGCCCGAGGCGCAGGTCCCGCTCTGGCTCCCCGCAGCCTCCTCCTGCTGCAGCCCCCCCTGGATGAGGTACTCCACGATGTTGGTGTGGCCGGTGACGCTGGCGGCGAGCAGGGGGGTCATTCCATAGCCGTCCTTCTCCATGCGGGCCTTGGAGCGGAGCAGGAGCTGCAGGATCTCCAGGCTGCCGGACTCGGCGCAGTCGTGCAGGGCCGTGTTCCCCTTCACGCTGCGCCGGTTCACGTCGGCCCCTTTCTCCAGCAAGTAGCGGGCGATCTCCCGGTGCCCTTTGTAGCACGAAATCATCAAGCACGTGTGCCCGTGCCGGTTGGCCACCTCCAGGTCGGCCCCGCGCTCGCCCACCAGGTACCGCACGATCTCCAGGTGCCCATCGAAGCAGGCGGCCCGCAGCGGGGTGGAGTTGGTCAGCGTGGTCTGGTTCACCGAGGCGCCGTGGTCCAGGAGGCTCCGCACCACCCCCAGGTGCCCGGCGGCCGAGGCCGCCCACAGCGGCGGGGCCCCCTCGATGGTCTCGCCGTCGAAGCTGACGGAGCCGCCCTCCTCCACGCGGGCCCCGCAGTGATCCAGCAGGTACTCCACCACCTCCAGGTGCCCGTGCCGCGCCGCGATCAGCAGCGGGGTGCTGCCCGCCCCGGGGCCGCCGCCGCCGCCGGGCCCCGCCGTCAGCGCCTCCAGCTCCTCACGGCTGCGGCTGCCCAGGAGCTTCTGCAGCAGCTTCAGCTTCCCGTCGCGGGCCGCGTTGTACACGGCCGTGCGCAGGTCCATGGCGCCGGGGGCCGCGTCCTGGCCATGGACCGGCGGCTCCGGCGCGGCCCCAGCGCGGCGCGGGGCGGGCGGGGGGCGGCGAGACCCCCCTGCCCTCAGCACGGCGGGACCTTCACCGCCCGGGCCCGACCGCCATCTCAGGCTGCGCCAAGGAACAAAATGGCGTCGCGCGGGGCGGGGCGGGGCGCGCGGAGGATGATGGGAAATGTAGTCCCGCGAGAGGCGCGCCCCGCACGGTCCCGCGCCGCGCGCACTCGGTTTCCCAGCAGGCAGCACGGGAGCGGGCAGTGGGCAGGGCGCGCAACCCGCCTCGCGCGAGGCATGCTGGGAATTGTAGTTCCAGCGCCCCAGCAGCCAGCGCCGCCAAGCGGGCCCTACCGGAGTCCGGACTACATTTCCCAGCGTGCCTCGCGCGGGCCGATGCGTGAGGAGCGGGTGCCGTACAAATGCCTTTATAATTCACAGCGTGTGTACGTTTAATGCCGGTTTTATTTATATTAAATTCCTTGATGTTGTTGAACTTCAAGACACAGCGGCTTACACAGCGTTAACCTAACGTGGTTTAATTGCAGGCAACCACTTGTATTCTGTGGGATCAGAATATCCTGAGCTGGAACGGGAACGGACCCTCAGGGATCACCCAGTGCGACCCCGTTGCTGCGACAGATCTGATGGAGCGTTTTAAGGTGCAACTTTCTGCTTTGGAGGTGGCAAAGCCTCGTCTCCAACAGCAAACACAGATTTGTTCCCTCAAATCCCCTCCACAGGACGTTATGTCCAGTTCCCTCCGTCCCTGAGTGACAATACCTGCCTGGAGCGAGGGAAAACACTCGAGCAATAAATAGCCCAGCTTAGATGAGCAAAGCTTTACTCACCAGAGCCTATTTTTAGGGCATAAGTTGACTTTAAGTGTCTCTAATCTTTATACAGGGAATCGGCATGGGGTTTCTCCCGCTGTATTTTATTTATAGCTGTTTTTCTCCTTTCCGGGAAAATAAGATTAGTCTCATTATTTCCATTATTATTATTCCGTCTGTCATGATTATTATTCAGTCCATCCACCCATTTTAGGTCTTGTCTGGAATTACTGTGGATTACCCCGCTAATGCCTGTTGCCTTCGCACTGAATATCACTTTTGTTGCTAAGAAACTGCTTTTGCATAACAGGCACTGTTGAGCCCAGTTTTCACTTCAGCAGCTGCTAAAAAGTCACCGGGGAGCAGCAGGTGCTCCTGGGAGCCAGAGCCGGAGTGTCCGTGGCAGAATTCCCACACGAGGTCTGAGTGTGCTCAGGGATTCTTCCCTGGGAGGGTGGTAAGGCCCTGGCACAGGTTGCCCAGAGAAGCTGTGGCTACCCCATCCCTGGAAGTCTCCAAGGCCAGGTTGGACGGGGCTTTGGAGCAACCTGGAATAGTGGGAGGTGTCCCTGCCCATGGCAGGGGGTGGAACTGGATGAGCTTTAAGGTCCTTTCCAAACCAAACCATTCCGTGGTTCTGTGGTTCAGTGACACCTCCAGTGTGTCCGTGCTGTGCAAGGGCAGCTTCCTGCACATCGGGACAGGAGGAATCACAGGATCATTTAGGTTGGAAAAGCCCTCCAGGATCGAGTCCAACCATTCCCCCGGCACTGCCAAGGCCACCACTAATCCATGTCCCCAAGTGCCACATCCACGCGGCTTTTAAATCCCTCCAGGAATGGGGACTGAACCAGTGCCCTGGGCAGCCCCTTCCAGAGCTTAACAACCCTTTCAGTGAAGAAATATTCCCTAATATCCAACCTAAACCTCCCCTGGCACAACTTGAGGCCGTTTCCTCTCATCCTGCCCCTTGTTCCCTGGGAGCAGAGCCCGACCCCCTCCTGACTCCCTCCTCCTGTCAGGGAGTTGCAGAGAGGGAAAAGGTCCCCTCTGAGCCTCCTTTTCTCCAGGCTGAGCCCCCCCAGCTTCCTCAGCCACTCCTCTGTGTGTGCTGGAATACCTGGAATCATTCCCTATCCCTCTGAGGTGCGAACACACAACTCTGGGCACAAATCCATTGTGTTTTCACACCTAAGCAGTGGTTTGGGCACACTGGGTCCGTGTTACACTGCCCTGAGAACCTTGCTGTGTGTCTGTGTGCAGCAGCTCCCTGGGTGTGAATATCCAAGCTGTCCCTCTGTCCCCACTGGGAACATCCACGTGCAAACCCCCTCCCCAGCTTTGAGGCTGTTTGTGCTGCAGGTCAAGGCACAGACACGGTGACATTTCCTCTCCCCGCTGGCTCCTCGTGTTGCCATGGTGACCAGATGCACTCGCTCTTTTATCTGAAGTATCTATTAACCAAAGCTTCCTATTAATTTCCCCTCCATAGAATCCATTAGGGATTCACCTGAACACCACGAAGGCTTTTTAGGTCCCAAATCCACCTCAGAACCTGCCCCTCGTTCTGGGGTGGGCTCAGAGTGGCTTAAAGTGCAGCTGATGGAAATGTTTTTTTCCATCAATAAATTGCTTAGTAATGAGGGAATAAAGAGCACGAGGAGAAGGGTCACAAAAGCCTCTCCCTGTGGATCTCTGAATATGGAATGTACTGGAGCCTCAGGACCTTGGTCCCAGCCCGGGTGTACCTGGATAATTCTGTCTGGGGAGTCACAGAGAGCTGGAGGTGGGGGTGGAGGGGCTGTACCTGCATCACCCTCAAAGGTCTGGGGCAGGATTTTGACTGTGGCAGAAACCAGAGTCACTTTGTCACCTCGGTTCTCCTGCGTCCTGTGGCTTCTCTTGGTGAGGTCACCACCAAAAGTGTCCCAAACCAGGGCTCCAGGGGGATGGAGACATCACACAGGATCAGAACCATGGAATCACAGAATAGATTGCGTTGGAAAGGACCTTAAAGCCCATCCAGTTCCATCCCCTGCCATGGGCAGGGACACCTCCCACTATCCCAGGTTGCTCCAACCTGGCCTTGGACACTTCCAGGGCTGGGGCAGCCACAGCTTCTCTGCCCAACCTATGCCAGGGCCTCACCACCCTCACAGCCAGGAATTCCTTCCCAATATCCCATCTAAATTTCCCCTCTTTCAGTTTGAAGCCATTCCCTGTGTCCTGTCCCTCCATCCCTTGTCCCAGGTCCCTCTCCAGCTCTCCTGGAGCCCCTTTAGGCCCTGGAAGGGGCTCTCAGGCCTCCCTGGAGCCTTCCCTTCTCCAGGTGAACCCTCCCAGCTCTCCCAGCCTGTGTCCCAAAGCTGGAGGGTGTCTGCTGAACCAGATCAGCAGCAGTGGTGCAGCTCCCACTTCCACTGGCACAACAACTGGGAATAAAGGATCAGTAACACCCATCTGAGAGTGTCTCAAAGCCACCACGTCCCTCCTGTACAGTCCACAGCCCCCACAGGGCCCCAGGGACCCCAGAGGATTTGTGGGGTGACACACACAGAGCCCCAATCCAGAGTTCTGGGAATAGAGAGGGGAGTTAAATACCCAGGGGAGGAAGAGCAGGTAAAAAATGAGCCGTTTTGACAGGGCTGCCAGATTGTGTGGCAGGAGGGTTAATTTTTTTTGAAGCTGCCATTTCATATTCCCTTTCAGACAAGCTGAATTACACGGTGCTGGCTTCTCCAGGAGTAGCATAATTTTCCTCATGGAAATAATGACAGGGTACTTAAAAAGCAAGTGAATGGATGGCTGAAGTACTGGGCAGAGACTTCTGAAATCCAGGCTGAGCCCTCACCCTTGCTAGAGGCTTCTTTGGTGACCTTGGGCCAGTCACTTAATCTTCCTGTGTCTCAATTCCCTGCCAATAACATGGCAATAATAACTGTTCTTGCTCTGTCTGGCTTATTTAGGCTGCAAAGTCAGAATTTACAGCTTGTGTTTTCTCTTCTTTGAGGGCAACCGAAGCCAAAGAGCTTCAATCCGTGCCGAGGAGTCTGGGCCACCACAAAATGCAAGGTGGATAACAAATAAAGGGCTGGGATATGTGATTGGGAACATTCTTACACGAGAATTCCTAATCCATTGTTCCCCATCGCTTCCCTCAAAATGTGGAGGAGTTTAGAACTGTGCTAAGAGTTCCAAAAGCATCGAAATAATTTAGGAACAGAGGCCAGGCCGATTTATTGAATCCCTGAGTTACTTCTGAAAGGGCGAGTGGGTAATTTAGGCACCTGCAGAATTTCCTGCGAGGTCTTTGTGCTCAGTCTGTGGCTGCAGCAGCTCCTTGGGTTTTTTTCAGTTTAAGCTGAGGTTTGCAGGCAGCTGTGTACCCGGGTTTTATCCATCCCTTCAGCTTTTAGGGGTTTGTGTGATTTCCAGAAGCTGAGGGAAGATGCTTCCTTGCTACGAGAGCCAATGGAGATGAGATTTTCTCTACAGTTGAGCAATTTGCTGTACAAAGGGAACAATTCTAAAAATAGAGAGAAATGGCACCATGACATTAAGAGGAACGATGACCCAATCCCCAACTTGCTGCAGGGGCTTTTGTCCTATAACTGCCTTCCCCATTAGGGCTGTGATGACATTATTTGCTGTGGTTATGTGGGGCACGAGGCCACGGGTACCTGGAAGGGAGGATTTTGATCAGACTGCAGAGGATGAACACACCAGAGAGGCTTGTTGGGGAACACTAAATCAGTGGAGTTTCATTTACATCAGACACCAGCCCAGCCATTCCAGCATTAATGGCTGCACTGCTGCCCTCGGAATTTGGTGTGGATTTAATCTGTCAGTGGGGGAGTAAAAGGGAGGGGGAGAGTGAGACCTTCTGGCTTATGAAATGTGGATCTTTTCTTTCAGGCACCATCAAAGGACAGGGATTTGTAGTGGTTTAAAATTCTTTTGGCAAGAGATTTGTGGCTGCCCCATCCCTGGAAGTGTCCAAGGCCAGGCTGGAGCAACCTGGGCTAGTGGAAGGTGTCCCTGCCCATGGCAGGGGGTGGGACTGGATCACCTTTAAGGTCCTTCCCAACCCAAATCATTCTGGGATTCTGTGATTCCTAAATCACATATTCCATTGTACCAGTGATGTGAGCAGTGCTGAGCATATCCTGGGTTGGTTAAAAAAAGAAAGAGAGAAAGAAAGTGCTCAACAGCACCAACAACCCAAATTATTAAAGACATTTCAGTACTTTTACCACTGGCCTTGACAGGATTCAGGAGTTTCATTTTCACACCTGAATACCTTTGAGAATAGAGGCTCTGAGTGGTGTTGAAAATCTGTTCTTTTTATATTTTGAAGCCCTGCTGGAAGCAAAGGGCTCCACTCTCCAAACAACCCCTGCCAGGCATCGAGGTCCCAGCAGTGCCTGAGTGCCCAGCAGGGCCCTGACCCTGCACTGGTGTGTTGGGGGGGCTTTCAGGGAGACACTTCCCTTCCTGACAGCTGATTTCCAGTGAAACTGTGTTGAAGGGAGGCAGGGGAGTGCCAGGTTTGCAGGATGAGCTTGGTTCTTCTCGGGTGCATCTCCCTTTGCTTCTCTCAGAGCCCAGACTTGGTTGACTTTAAGGGGATGGGACGAGGAGCAGAACAAGGCACGTCCTGACCTCCAAAGCACTTCCAGACACAGCCAGCTCTCAGGTCCAGGGCTCTCGGGGTCTCTGGGCCGTGGCAGCCTGGGCTGTATGGCAGGCTATGATTTGTTGTCACCTTTATAAACAGAACAACAAAATCACTAGTCTTCCACACAGAGCCAGACCAGGAGAGCAGCGCTCCCTCCTCAGGGATGTCCTCCTGCACGTCTTCTCCTGCTTTCCTTCCTCAGTTTTATCAGCCTTTAATTCTTGTTCTTGCCTCTCCTTTCAGGGATGGATGCTGCTCTTTGCAGAGTTCCTCATGAGACCGTGGCAAACCTCCCTGCAATCATCTCTCCAATTTGTGGCTGTTCCCGTGAGTTTCTGCTCCATTTTCTCACTCCCGGAGGCTCTACAGGGACATCAGGGCTCAGCAGGGGCTCCTCTTCCCTTACCCTGTGATAAAACTTCTCCAGGAGTGCTCTGTCAACCTGTCTGTCTCCTGGTTATATTTCAGTTGACTAAAATAAGCAAATGCAATGTATACTGGGGAACGCTGGAGAAAAGGACTCAGCAAAAGAAAAGATAATGATAGTGCTGAGTTTCCTGGAATCCCACTGAGAGGCTGATTTAAGCAAGAAAAACAAACCCCTTTTGCTGTTTCCTTTCCCTGGATTTGTTGATGAGCAATCTTTAGTTCACCCCAGGTCCAGCTTTGCTTCCACTCCCCAGCTCTCCTCTGTTAATACCTCACATATGGCACGGCTCAGGTGTGAAAGGACAATGCTGGCTCACATCCATGGAAAGGATCGGACTTTATTCCCTGTCTGGGTGAGGCTTACTTACCTCAGCCACTGAAACCAGGCAGGGAACAGCATCCTTCCCATCTTCACCAAGCCTGTACTTCTGTAAGCAGGTGGCACAAAAAAAAAATAAATGAAAGGGAAAGAAACAAAAACTATCCCTCAGGAGCTGCTGCTCCTTTCATGGGAGGAGAAAGAGTGTGGAGCAACAGGAGAGGGTTTCCTGCTCTTGACAGGGGTTGTGCCCTGTGTGAGCTCACAGAGAGCAGCCCCATCCCTCCCTTCCTCCCTCCCTTTTTTTCTTTAACATATGTGCTTTCTATGGGCACTTTAATCAAACTCCAGATGGGTTGTTTCAGTCAGGGGATTTGTGCTGCTCTGGAGATAAGAGTCCTTTGTGCTGGCCTAGGTAGCAAGAGTGTTTGTGATAACTGGAGCTGATACCAGGAGATGTCCAGGTGGTCTTATTTAACAGGGAGCATTAGTGATACCACCATTGTCCAGGAAATCAGATAAAACTGGGTCCAGGTGTTACCCAACACCGTGTTTGTGTAAGGACAGTACCAACTGCTGCCTGCACTGAGCCCCAGAGCAGCACTGCAGAGGGGGGGGTTCTTGTACAGGATCCCCATCACCCCCAAACTTCTCGGGGTGCACCATTGAAAGGGAAAAATTTAACCAGGAGTTGGACTTGGATGATCCTTGTGGGTCCCTTCCAACTCAGGATATTCCATGATCCTAAGCTGAATATCAAGTGAGCTTCACACTGAATATAAGATCACTCTTGGATGTCCTAAACTGAAGAATTTCACTTAAACCATCACACATTTTCCTCTCTGCCCTCCCACAGAGAGGTCTCTAACGAAAACATTTGGGGAGTGAGATGATTTAGAAATAAAAATTCAGGACAATTCACTCTTCTGCCCAGGCTAATTAGAAGAGAGGAGGAATTGTACAGATGGATGAACTGGAGAGAGGAGACAGTTTGGGAAGTGCTAACCTGGACTGTAATTTCAGGTGACAAGGACACTTTTCAGTCCTCGTTCTGGAGTGACACTGCACAGTGACACACCAGCTGCAGGAAGGGATTTACCACAAATCATTGCTAGAAAATCACATAAAAATCAAGACAAAAGAAGTATGAGCGAGACCTGAACTCTTCTTGTGGTTTTACACTCAGCCATTCCCTTTTAAGAGCAGGGTATTTAGTAGGAAGCATAAATTCCAGGCTCAGAGTCGTGCAATGTCTAGACTCCAGCTCGTGGGATCTGTCTCCGTGGGGCCATATTTCTCACCGTGATATTTTTCAGGACACCTCTGCTTTGTCCCAGAGATTTCAGGGATGTGGAAGCTCCCGGCTCCTCGTACCAGTGGCAGCTGGGAGGCTGCTGGAGTTCCTTGGTAATTGTTTGTATGGATGGGAGCTCAACTTAGCTGCAGAGCACGGGGGGAAAAGCCTGGTTGGAAGGAGCGGGGACTTTTGGCCCCCAGCTGTGCCAGAACAGGCTCATCACCGAGAGATCCCCAGCTGCACTTCCAGGCTGTAAATTAAACAAACAGTGTTTCCTCTAGACCAGACCACAGGGATGGCAGAGAGAACAATGTGGCCTTATTGCTGTTATTTCCTTTGGTTTCAATCTCTGTCCTCTGCCCCCACCTCCTCCCCAGACCCGTGGTGCCCACTTTACCCGATTTGCCATTTATTACACTGCTTTAAAGAGAGGCAGGGGGAAAAAGGCTCAGTGCAAATTATATTTTGAGCTGTTGTGCTTTGCCTCTTTGGTGGATAATAAATCTCTCTGGCAATGCTCCTCTGTATAGGATTTGTCATTAAATGCAATTAAACAAACCCTGCAGGTGTCCATGATCAGGCCTGCAGCAGCCCATTCACAACTGCAATGTTATTATCAGCCTGACAACAAAACACCAGATATTTCCTGAGCTCCTCTGATCGATGAGCTCGCCTGACTTGGAACTGGGAGGGAGGAGAAAAGGGGCTTCAGAGCGCTTCAAATGCTCTTTAGACTTATTGATGGAAAAGTCAAAAAGCTGCTCGGCAATCAGAGGGAAGGTGGAGAGAGAGAAAGGCAGAGGGACTGGAGAGCTGAGAGGGAAAAATGAGAGAGGAGTGTTTGGGAGTAAAAAGGTAGAAATGAGGCAAGATATCACATGGTGCCCACCCGCCCAATGAGTTGGCTAATGCACAAGAGTAGGATTTAGGAGGCAAGGAGGGTATTTTAGGGATGATTCTTTGGCAGTTGGGCTTTTAGTGTTAAGTGGATCATGCAGGCTCCCTCTGCAGTCAGCACAAATATTCCTCTCATCCCAAGGCAGGACTGGCAGGTTGACCTGTTGTCCAGGGATGTTTGCCAGCCTTCATAAACTGTAGCCAAATGGTTGGATCAGACACACAAATAATTGTAAACCCCACCTGGAACAGCCAAAGGAATTGGCTTTTTCAAGGCCGGGTTGGCCGGGGCTTGGAGCAACCTGATCTAGTGGAAGGTGTCCCTGGCCATGGCAGGGGGGTGGAATGAAAGCAGCTTTAGGGTCCTTTCCAAGCCAAACCATCCTGGGATTCTGTGGCTCTCTGAGTGTGTGTCCCCCTCCGTTCACACAGAGGCATGTCCTGGCACAGCCTTGGGCACGCTGGCACGCTCCAGAGGTGCTGCTGACAGCATTTGTCCAGAGCAGATGCAACAACATTCACACCTGAATTGTTGTGTGCCCTGACAATCAGGAACAGGGAGAAAGCTCCTGTGGTTTCTGTCAGCCATCCCAGGCAGCCTGTGGAGTGTGAAGGTCAGGGACTCACAGGGGACCGGCTGCTGCTGAATCCAGTGAGAGAGAAAAATTTGCCAACACCAGTCGAATCCTTCTGCCTGACTCGTTTGCTCAGCTCAGCCTCGGGGTGCTCTTGGGATGAACCTCATTCCTCTCCTGCTCCCACCCCAGGAATCCTGGTTTAGCCCAGCTGGCTGCTGGGGCACACATGGAATTGCAGTGGCAAGGACAACGCTTTTATTACTGTTCTAGTGCCACCAAAACCAAGGGATTTGGGGGTTGGATAAAGGGGTTAAATGAGTGGGTGTCTGTAGTGCACATGTAAAGTGTGAGGGGTGATTATTCTACCAAAAAAACCCTATGAAGGTGTCTTTGATTAAGATTTTATAGTCTCATCTGTAGGACAAACAGCACAGGGCCCTGTTTGCTGCCATCCAACATCACACTGCGATTGTGGCAGAAGGAGCCAGGAATTCTGTGATCAATCTGTGGGTCTCAGGGTGACCATTTCCCTGGACACTGCATGTGGATCACTCTGCAGTGCTGGTCTCTGGCTCCCTGATTCCAGGGCAGTCCAGATTCCACTCTGTATTCCCTCTTCACCTGCTGGGTTGTGCCATTAGCAAACCACCATGTGGTGATCTGGTGGCCCCGGTCAGCACTGGTGGGTTGAAGGTGCCAGAAGGGCTCTGTCCCTGTGGTACCACAGAATTTGGCCACCAAGTCTGGCTGCAAAGTGTCAATTCACTGGCCACAGCAATGAGGGTGGTCCTTGGGTCAGTGGGGGCCTGCAAGGGCATGGAAAAATCCACAGCTACCAGTGTTGCTTATCATGGAATCCCAGAATGGTTTGGGTTGGGAGAGAACTTAGGGATCATCCAGTGCCACCCCCTGCCATGGGCAGGGACACCTTCCACTATTCCAGGTTGCTCCAAGCCCCATCCAACCTGGCCTTGGACACTTCCAGGGATGGGGCAGCCACAGCTACTCTGGGCAACCTGTGCCAGGGCCTCCCCACCCTCCCAGGGAAGAATTCCTTCCCAGTATCCCATCTAACCCTGCCCTCTGGCAGTGGGAAGCCATTCCCTGTGTCCTGTCCCTCCAGGCCCTTGGAAAAATCCACAAACAAAAATTTATGAATAAATCCATTTTGCTTGGCTTCACCTGCAGACCTTGGGAATGCTGAGGTGACACTGGCTCAGAACATTTGGGAGACACAGATGTAGGAATCCCAGCAGGTGTGGAACGTGGCATTGCCCCACTCCAGCCCCTTCCACCTCCCTCTGCTCTCAGCCAGAGAGCCAGAAACACCTCTGATTCCCTGCCCTGGCTGCTGTAGGGTTTGCAGTGGGGGGCTCGGGCTGTCACAGAGGGATGTGCTCTCTCCCAGGGCAGAGGGACAAGCGCTGGCACATCCCTGTGCCAGCCCAGGAGCCAGGGGGCTGCTAATGAGCCCACTGGTGTGAATGAGCTGGGGCTGCTCTCAGTCCTCCAGGACTTTGGTGGAACTCTGCTGATTTACACCACGAGAGCCGGGGCTGGCGGGGAAAACCCCCTGGAGTTTCCATCAGCGGGTGTGAGAGCGGGGAGGGAGCCTGGTGAGAGCTGAGGGGGCACAGGGAGCAAATCAAGGGCAGGATGGAAATGCACATCGGCTTGGATTGACTTCAACAAACCAACAAACACTTTTTTTCTTTTCTCATCCCTTCTTTCCACCTCCCTTCCTCCCCACCTCCAGCAGCTCCTCTCCCCGTGCTGCTCATCTCCCTTTGTGCACCTCTTACCCGCACTCTCCTCTCTAAACAGGTGCAGTTGCCACTCAATAGACTTTAATTACCACTTCAAGGGCTCTCACCGGGGTCTGCGGGAGGGTGGAGATGAATTTTCCCGAGGATTATGTGTGTCTGAGTTCTCTTCACTCAGATGGCAATATTGCTGTCAGCCTGGATCCTTCCAGAGACCTGCTCTTCGGGTTCTCTCTGCTCGTGTTAACAAAAAGAGAAACTGCTGCTGAAGTTACAAAAAACCACCCAGCCATTAGCTGGATTAATTAGCAGGACAGCAAACGAGGCTGGAGAAAAATACTGTAGAAAATTTAAAACCCAGGGGTCTCAGCCGGGCTCCTAAACCGTTATTTCTGCTTGCAAATCAAGAAGTGGAGAGCTCAGCATCTCCCAAGATTTCTGTGGGAGACTGGGCTCTGAAAATACAAGTTGTTTTGAACCACTTTACCTTCTTTTTTGCTCCGTGCTCTTCCCATCACGGCTCACCAGAGAGACACACTGTTAATGCATCCTGCTGGGGCCCTGGGGATTCCTCTGTCAGTCCATTCCTGGCTTCAGCACAGCTTGCCTGTGATGGAGGAATTATTCCCAGTGTTTAACTGGTAACATAGCATAATTTTGATTATTAAGATCTTCTTCAAGAGGCTAATCCTGGAGAATGCAGAGCAGCTGATGTCTGTTGGAGCTGCTTGGAATTGTTTGCCCGGGATGTGAGTGTGGAGATGCACACAGAAATTTAGATACGTGCAGAGAGGAGCTGGGAGTATAACAGGATCTTTTGGGACAGGGAAAACTCTGCAAATATTTTAAAAAATCATTTCTTTTGCTCAACATTAACACTTCTAATTTTTCCACGAAACGAAACGCAGGAAGGAGTTTCCTTTTATAGCAAATTAAGCGACGTTTTTCTCCTGCCAAAATGAAGTTTGTTTCCCCTAAACAAGCAATTCAGCAAATTGGGCAAACGCTGTAGGCAAATCTGCGTTTTTGCAGATGTGTTTTGCATCTTGCCCAGCCCCAGCACAGCTGGGCACGTCCAACATCTGTCTGGCTCCTGCAGAGCCCGTGGCCAAGGGCAGCACAGTGTGGGCCCTGGGATAGTCAGGGCTGAGCTCCTCTGCATCCCTGCACTGAGCCAGCTGCTATTCCTGGGTTGGTGTCCAGGCTCCTCTCATCCCTCGGGCGTTATCCCAAGTGTTGGGCCCCAAGCAGTGGTTGAGGGTCTCACCTGCAGCCCCGTCCCTGCTCCTGAGTGCCGCTCGTGTCCCTCCGGCACCGCTCGCGCTCCCGTCTGCCCCGGGCTTTTCCTGGCACCTGCAGCACGAAGACAGAAGGGATAAAGGAAGGATGGATGGACAACACTGATGGAATGGTTCATGGTTGGACTCAATGAGCTCAGAGATCTTTTCCAACCCTAATGAATATCCAGGATGCTGGGGAAGGAGCAGAGTGATCCTAAAGGCACGTCGGCCCTAAGACATCCTTCATCTCTCATCATGTTCTGTCTCTCCTTCCTTGGGCTCTGGGTGCAGCTGTGACCCCAAAAATGAGAAGGTGGATGGCACAGGGACTGGGATGGGAAAAGGAAGAGGCACAGTGATGTGCCCACAAGGGACTTCTCCCTGTGTTTGGAACTCTTTCTCTGGGCTTTCTCTCTCGGAATCCTTCCCCTCTTCTTCCTGTACTTATCCCAGTTCCTTCCTCTCCTACTCCTGCCCTCCTGCCCTTCCCAGCTCTCCTGACATTCCCACTCTCATTTCTCAGGTCCTCTCCATCTCCTCCTCATCTAACTCATCCTTTCAGCTTCCAAGATTTAAAATCCTTCTGTCTCCATCACCTCTTCCTCCCTCCTTCCTTCCCTTGTACATTTTGCTTTCCAGGCCCATCTACCACATGTTCTCCTGCCCTTTCTGTGGGCCTGGGGTGAACATTGATCACAGCCATCTCGAGCCCATCTCTCCCTTTTCCCAAAGAGCCGATGAAAATGTCACCCATGAGATAATAATCATGTTGCTCACATCCCTTAATTGCTCTCAAAGTACACGTCGAGGCTTCAGAGCCTCTTTGAAAGGCAGGTTCTGGCCTTTGGCACATTATTGACAGGCTGTTGATAGGCCCCTTTGTTGAGGAGCAATTTTGTCCCTTTTCCTGTACAATTTTTTGGTTTTTTTTTAAAGGCAGCCCTTTCAGAGAGAGTAGATTTTTAAAATAGAGCCGAGCTTTGAATGAACAGGCATCAGAGTTATTCCTGAGGAGTGGTGGCACATGTGGGAGATGAGAGCTACCAGAACACTTCATGCAGGACAAGAAATCAAACTGTGATGCCTGATAGCTTCATCCTTGTTGCTTTTTAGTCCTTCCCCTCTTGGACCCGCTAATAAGATGGTTTTTTGCAGTGTATGACTAATTAGACATCTTGTGTGTTCCAGTGCCTGGTAAACAATAAGAGAAAGTTGACACTTGAGCTGTGCAGCAACTCATTTGTATCAATTAATGATAATTCTTTGGGGTTTCTAGTACCTGCTGATTAAAGTGGACTGAGATCTTCTTGTCACAGCAGCCCTTTGTGGTCTCAAAAGCTTTGCAGGTCTGGAGGAGCGTGAGCAGAACCAGCCCGGCTGCTCTGCCACCGCTGGCGTGGGCAGGGACCCTCCCTCAGCAGTGGCAGGAACCTGAGCAATTCCCCCCTCAGCTGCTATTCCCAGAGGCTTTAAATCCACCCCTTTCCCCCGGATTTATTTTACCATGCCCCTCCTGGGTGCATCTCGAGGTGACCCCACCACAGCTCCGTCTGTGACAGCTCCCGGCACGACCCTGAGCCAAACCTCAGGCTCTGCTCGACTCACCCCCAACCCGGAGAGAAATAAAATTCTTTCCTCTCTGAAACAATGTCCCTTGGAACGATTTTGCCCTTAATGAGCCCCGAGTGCGCCGCTGTGCCGCGGAGCCGCCGGTGTGCATGTTAACAAGGAGCTCTCTCGGCGTGGAGGAGCCGAGATGGCCGGCCCTGTAATGGGAGGCTGTTCAGCATCCTAAGCCCTGCATTAGGCTGTGCCTGTAGGAACCCTGGCATGTTCCACGGAGGCTGCCTGAAGGTAATCAGCTCTCCCAGCCTCCTGGCTGTCCCTCACCGAGCGCTCCGCTTGGAGCTATTCCAGGAAACGGCTCCAGAGATGATAAAGTTTAGCCCCTGATTTATTCACCAGCAAAAGGGGGGAGGAAATGCCATTTGGTTGTGGGTGAAAAGGGAAAATGCAGGGGGCTGGTTGGGATTTGGTTGTTGAACCCTGTGAGGGACTGGAAGCCCTGGAACTTCATTGTTTGGTTCGGCCAAATCATGAGCAGGACCTGAAAAACATCATCACCTTCAATTTATCTTCGAGTCCTGCTTGACTCAAGTGGTGCATCCCAGCACTTCCCATCCCAGAAACCTATTTCAGGCACCACATCCACTTAAATCCACATTTTGTGTATGTCAAACACACACATCACAGAGAATACAACATATAGATAGATAGATAGATAAACAGATACACATTTAGATCAGTGTATGCCACACAGAACAACTCCATCCTGCCGAAATTCAGGAAAAGGAGTTCTTCCAGATCCATTCCCTCATTGACAGACCAGCAGAAAAACAAAATGCCTCTCTTCTAGAAAAAAAAAAAAAGATCAGCTAATTTATTTTTCAAAGTTGTGAACTCATTAGCTGGCAACTATTGTTCCACCCACCTTTGCAACCCCTCAACGGGGTCACAAAAAACCTACCCAGAGCTCCAAACACACCCTTGTCAGCGTGTGCTGAGAAGTGCTAAAATAAAATGTTGTCTGAATTAGATGGGGAGGATTAGAAAGGTGATAAAAGCTAAGCCAGGAGAAAATAAGATGATAAATAGGTCTGGCAAGATAGATGGATAATCTTCCTCCCAGGCCAAACCTGACTGGATAATCACCTTTTTCTGTTCTCTGGTTCCATTTGCTCTCGGATCTTCAGAGCTTTACAGGTATCACTGGATTTGGTTTTCTGGTACCCTGGAAAAGGGGGACACAATGTCCATCTTTCCAGACAAGGGATCTGAGGTGCCTGACTTAGGAGTGGGTTTAGGTTTCAGATTAGGGTTGCAAAAATGAACCAAACTGTTGCCTTTTGTCGGTTCGTTTCTCGGCTCTCGCTGTGCCTCGGGCAGGGCCGTTCCCTGAGGAGGAGCTGCTCAAACCAGGGCTTTTCTCAGCTCACCTTTTCCCAGAGCCAGAGCAGGAGAAGTCCTGTCCTCTCCCAGGTGTGTCTCTGTTCCTGTCACCAGGCTGAGCTGGGAACATCCAGAGCCAGGTGATTCCCAGAGCTGCGAGGGCACAGCTCTGCTCCCGCTCCCTGCTCCTGCTGGGATCTGCAGCCAGCAGTGCCCCTGACCATGGCAGCAGGGGAAACTGTCCTCCTCCCTCTGTCCCCTCAGGTTATAAATTACCTCTGAGCAAATCCAAACAACACATTTGAGCTATAACCAATAAGCTCATTAAACATTCCAGGCTATGAGGCTCTTTCCCAGTTCAGAGAAGACTTGTCTGAACTGGCCTTTGCTCTCCTTGCTCCAGGGAAATTCCCATTGCTCCTGCTAAATCCACGAGCCTGCAAAGCACTGAGCCCTTTTTTGCAGACAGGGACACCTTGTCTGAGGGGAGGAACTCAGGAAAGTTTTCCATCACTCCATGGCATTGATTCCTCCACAAACATTTGACTGGCAACACAGAACAACGGAATATTTGATCAGCCAGAATTACAGACCACAACATTAATAATTTTGTGAGCTGGACTGGAAAGATTTGCACTTGTTCTTGCTGGGAATGGTGCAATTGTCTCCTCCTTTTTAAGAGAAACTCTGCTCTAATGGCTGGGTGCATTGTCATCCTACGGGAGCAGGGACTGACTACTCCTTCTCATTTTGGGGGGCTTGAATCCATGTGATTTTCACCTGGGCTGGAATCTTGTAGGGGGACTGTTCATTGTGGTTCTGGATTTTCAGAAGAAGTCAGCGATTTTGGATGCCTTATATTTGTGTTTGAGACACTTTGAAAGGGAGTGATTGTGAGAGGTGGGTGCTTAGAGGGCCCTGAAAATCAGGATTAATTGGACTATGTCATGCTGGGCACCTGAAAACACTAAATGCTTTGGAAAAATCACAGGGGAGGGGGCTCTGTTTCTGAACATGATTTGGGAAGACTGCACAGCCTTAAGTAACACAGGATAAAGAGAAGATCTTTGCATAACCTGATGGAAACATCCTTTAATCCTCGGTGCCTGACTTTAGGTGGCATTTGATTCCTGAGCGAGTTCAGTGCTGGAGTTTGTGCAAGTGCACTTGTATTTTCCTGCTATTGTGTGAGTTACTGTAGGTTTGGTTTGTGAGAGTTTCTGAGTAGGTCTCTAAAATAAAATAAGTCAGAAGGCAAAGTTCTCCCCTTGAGTAGGACACGGAGGCCTTGCAGGCTTTCTGCACCGTCACCTGCAGAGCCGCAGGCTGTGCCAGGAAATATCCATTCTTTGCACTTCCTAAGCCCCTGAGCCTGAGTCCCAGAGCCAGAATCACACCCAACTCCTCCCCTCATCCATCAGCAACCATGGAAAAATCCTTGGTAGAGCCTCCCTTCCAGCTCAGAGCCAACACCTCGGCGTTGACCCTCGGCCGCTGCTACACCCGGAGCTGTGTCCGTTTGGAAACTCTGTTTGTAAATGAGGGGAAACTAAAAAATCCCTCCTAGTTATCCCAGTTATGCCCCAGGAAGGGCACAATGGCCACTGGCAGGAGCCATCTGGCCTCTGTAAACAAGGGCTCCTGCAGTCAGGGTGTGAGTGCAGGACGGGAAAGGCCCAATTCCTGCACGGGCAGAGAGGAGCCCTGGGCTCTGGGACGGCTCGAGGCTCTGCTGAGTCCCACAAAAATGTGGCAATAAGGGTTTTTTCCTGTTGCAGGGTCAAACTACAGGGCTGAGCTGGGCACAGGCTGGATATTTCTGGGTGCAGGAGTCAGGGTAGTGCATGTCCAACCTGAGCTTTCAGAGCTGCTAGGAGGGCAATTCCTCTTAATCTCAGCCAGTGCTGAAGGCTCCAGATATCCTGGGAAGCCTTGGGATACTCAAACACAAAGATCAATATTGAATATTGTATTAGCTGTTCCTGAGGTTTTGTTTTTTTTTTCTTTTCTTTTCTGGTTTTGTCTCCAGGCTGAAATTTAGGAGATTTTATTACATTAATATCCCAGCACCTGTTTTAGTAAGGACACAGTTTAGAAAGACACCTCAGCATTTAAAGACAGCTCATTTTAATAGGATTTACCAATTAATTTAGAACCCCACTCCTACTCATTTTCAGGTGAGGTGTGTGCTGACTTGTTTTACAAACCCCACCACAACACTGGTTTGTTCTGAACTCACTCAATTTTAGCAAGGTGTTAAATAATGACAAACTTTGAGGCCACACACGGATCCCAACAGCCCTCGGGGGAACACCTACATCAATTTTATCACCTGCTTTCCATCACTTCTCTGCTTTGAGTCCCCTTCTGGGCCTCAGGGTGGCTCCATGGGAGGTTTATTTCTTTTGCTTTCCTGGAGGGGGTTGAATTCAGTAACTCAACAGAGACAACTCCCCTTGATCCACACTGAGAGACTATTTACAAGGGCCTGGAGTGCCAGGACAAGGGGGAATGGCTTCAAACTGAAAGAGGGGAAGGATATTGGGAAGGAATTCTTGGCTGTGAGGGTGGGGAGGGACTGGGATGGATTTCCCAGAGAAGCTGTGGCTCCTCCATCCCTGGGAGTGTCCAAGGCCAGGTTGGAGCCACCTGGGCTAGTGGGAGGTGTCCCTGCCCATGGCAGGGGGTGGGATGAGATGATCCCAAACCATTCTGGGATTTGGGCAAGCAGAGAAGCCAAATTCTTGGCTCAGAGTCCCTTCAGCTCCTGTTTGGGCCCTGAACAAGCCCCTGCAGCAGGAGTGTGGGGCAGAAGGAGTCTCTGCCCGAGGGAGAAGGACCTCGCCGTGTCCATCCGAGCTCCAAAGCTGCCGCAGATCCGGAGTCTCAAACCCACTCTCCTTTTCCTGCTGAGGTTCCCAAGCACCTCCCAGTCTCCCAGCTACTACCAGATGCCACGATTGCACACAGACAAATATTTGTGCAAGGCACACAGAGCCTGGAGGCTGGAACACTGTCTGTCTGCGGGGAGCAGGAGAAGGGGAGGAGGATCCTGGGGTTATTTCTAGTTGATTTGAACCAACAAAAATCTACAGGGTGTTTATTTCCTACAAAACTTCCAATGTTTCCTTCCAACAGGTGATGTGGGACCAGCCTGACAGATTGATTTCCAGTTTAGTCGTTTTGTTGAGTACTTAAAGGGTCAGGAATTAAATTGAATTTAGATCAGACCTTACCCTGAATCCCCTGTTCTTCAGAGACCTCTGTCAGGGACAGGATTGGATCCACTTATGACATCTACAGAAAATGGCCAGTGAAAAATAAAGAAGTGACAAAATATGCCCTGAACGAATGGAAATGTAACTTTGATCAAGCAATGCTCTGAACAACACCAAATTTAGTTAGCTTCGAGGATATGATATCATCTACCCTCCTATTTTTTATATGAAATATGAGATTTGATTAGGAGATTTCCCAGAATGAGGAATAAACCCATAAAAGCAAGAATAGGTATTTGGTGCAATATAATTTTCTGGCTTCTTCTGTTTGGGAGCAAAGAACGTGATTTTCCCCCCTCCCTTATTTTACAGCTGAACTTCAAAGGGGAAAATGCCTGATATTGATGCTGGAAGAGACAAGGCACTGCCCAAACTGACCCTCAGATTTAGGACAGATCAGAGTCACTGTGCACAGAGAACTGATGGGAGAGATTAAAGAGACTTACAGAGAGATAACAAAGATATCTCTCCACTCAAATTCCATAGGGAAGCGTTTCCACTCCATAGTTTTTTTCAATGTCTATAATATGTCTTTGAAGGCTGTGTGGATATTCAAGCCCTCTTTTCAAGTGTTTTTCTTCTTTTCTCTTTCCCCCCCCCCCAAATATTTAATTCTGAAACAGCAAATAGGAGTTTCCTTAAAATGGAGAACAGCTTGTTTCCATTTCCTCTCAGAGGCCAACATTACTCAGGAAAAATCCAGGTGTAAAGACAGGAGATGGGGCCAGGCTGAGCCTGGATTAAATCACCTTGTGGAGCCTCTGCTCAGCAAAGTGTTCAAACCCACGTTTAGCAGGGCTGGGGGAGAATTTCCAGGGAACAGGGATTCGTTTAGTGAACCTCAGCTTCCAAAAATGGAGCTAAAACAAATGCAGCAAATCCCCTCAGCTGACAATAGCTCTGTGAAATGCTCCATTTCCAAAGTGCTCCAACACTTCAACATTTTAGCTTTTCTATTTGCTCTATTAGATCCTTGGTTTAATAATCCAAAAGAGGAAAAAATGTTTTATTTCAGCTCGAGACAGAGTAGAATACTTTGTTATTTTAATTTTGTCAAAATAAAATAAAACAAAAAAAAAAATCAAAAAACCCACCCAAACCAAGCAAACAAAACACTTTGTTTAATTTGATCCCGCTTGCTTTTAATTTTTTTTATTTTTTTTTTTTTTGGAGAAGCACATTTTGGGGGGAAATCCAATTTAGCCATTGAGCACTTTAATATAACACAATCTGTCAACAGACCCAAAGTGTACCACCACATCAAGGCAAATTTTGAGTACTCAGAGAGAACCAAACCATGGAGGAAAAATATTTTCAAATAGCTGTTCACTGAAGCACTGGCTCCCCAAAGCACCTTGGTGAAATATCCCATTTCTCCTACAAACTAGGGAATATTAAGAACAACTTTACACACGAACCACCAGTCAGCCACACTTTCAAAACAAGGATTTGGGGGTTTTCCAACACAAAGCTTTGATGCCGAGCAGGTGCAGGTTACATTTGGATTTGTACAATCATTCCTGGCTTTCCACATGGTTTTATTCCCTGCCCTCCCCCGGGCTGTGAGCGTGTCCCACCTGGGCTGGGATGTTTGGAAAAGGCGTCTGCGCCTGTCCCAGTCCATCCCACCCATCCCAGTGTCCCACCTCAGCCAGCCCTCGGCTCTTGGCCAGACCCCAAACTGCCTCCCGAGTGCTCGGGGCGATCTCCCGACCCTCGTGTGTCCCTGCCCGGGAAAAGGACCGGGACGCGACCCGGGCATCCCTGCCCTGGCACGGGGCACCCGCGGGCAGCGGCCCGAGCTGCGCCGCCCCCTTGTCCCGCTCTCCTGCCTTCCCTCTCCCGCAGAGACCCCTCCGGGGCTGGACTCACCTGCCTGGCCCGGGGACAGTCCAGCGTCGCCTCGGGGACCTGCCGTTGATCTCCGGGGAGGGTCCGGGCGGGTGCCGGTGCCCGGTCAGGGATGCCCGGGTCGTGTCCCGGTCCAGCCCTGCCCGGAGGAGCCGCCGGGCGCTGTCCGTGGTGCTGATGGCGGCATCCTGCCGGGATCCCTCCGGGATACGGCCAGGAACCCCCTCGGCCCCAGAGCCAGGGCCGGGGGAGGCCGGACCCGTCCCCCGAGCGTCCCCCGAGCGTTCCCCGCGGTCCCGGTGCCCGAGGAGCCGCCGGCAGAGGCGGGACGGGCTCCACAGGTGCCCCCGCGGGGCTCACCTGGCGCTGGGTCACCTGCGCGGCGGAGGGGCCGGGGAAGCTGCCCTGCCTCTGCCTCGGGGCTTTTATGGGGCCGCCGGGGGGGCGGCGGGAGGAGCGGCCGGGCGGGGACTGTCGGGCTCGGCCAACGGGAGCGGCTGTCGGGGCAGCTGCGGCAGCATTACATCATGGACCCGCCCGCGCTTCGCTCCCAGAGCCTCCGCCGGCGGCTCGGCGGCGAGGGGGGACAGCAACAGGTCTGTCCGGGGGGCACGGAGCCCCTGGAAACGGGGCGGCGGGCGGGAAGGGCGCCCGGAGCTCTGGCCGGGAGGGGGGAAAGCCCGCCAGGAAAGCCCACCCGGCGAGGAGGGGATGCTTGGTGGGGGTCAGTGGCTCCGCGTTTCCCAGGATAAACCCCCCCGGGCCGTTCTTTCCGCCGCGGGGGGTCCTTTCCCTCGGCCTGGCGGGCTCTGATTTCCCAGCCCAGTGGACGAGCCAAGCTTCACCCTGAATTCCCAGCCTTTTCCATCCTGTTTGTGGAGCGTGCACAAACCCCAACCCTCCGTTTCTTCCCGGAGGCACCGAGCTGACGGGCAGCCCTGATCTGAGGACCTGGAATCCAGGTGGATCTCTCCCGTTCCCAGAGCAAGGAGGTCAGACAGCTCGAGAGCACAGCACTCGCCAGGGAAAACAAATGTATTCCCAAACGCCTTCTTCAGCTGGGATGGGTTTGTGTTGTGCCTCTTAGATGGCAAACACACAGGCTGCAGACATCAATTCTTCAAGGCTGCCCTAAATTATCCTAAGTGATCAGTTGGGGTAAAGGTCTGTCTTCTGACATATCCCGTGCACGGGATGTGTTATCATCTGATACCAAAGGAAAAGTAATAATTGTTTGCAACATTAATTAGACAGAAATCAAAATGATCCAGAGTTAAAGGCTCAGTGTGGGTAATACTTGAGACCCACATTCAGGTCTGGTTTGGGATGGATCTTCTGCAGGAAAATATGAGGCTCCAAAGCCCTGTGAATAAGAGCAGATGACCTGAAGGAGCCTATTTTCAAGTGGCACTGGCTGCTATTCAAATTACAGCACAATTAGAATCGAACCAGGTGCTCTGTTTCCAACTCTTTCTGTTCGTTTGTTTTCCATGCCAAGCATGGATGATGGGCCAAATCCTTGGCCTGGCTCCCACCGGCCCAGAACCTGTTGCTGTAGCCTGAGGTAAAAGCTGGGTTTGAGCAGAATGTCCCTGTGTGTGACACAAATCAGTGAAGCCCCTGAAGGAGGGGATGGCCCTGGCAGCACCCACTGACCCTGTGCTGCGTTAATCACAGCACAAAGAACGTGGGCTGGTGTTCAGGTAAAAGGAGATGTCACAGCCTTGTTAGTGCCTGGCCTTGGACGTGCCTCTGGGAGGGATTTTCATTCAGGAGCCAAACCTGGAAGCTGTTGCTCTTGGCTTTGTCCTGGCAAAGCAGGAGTTTGGGGGGAAAGCTGAAGCTGCAAACAACATCTTGTGGGAAATGCTGAGGGTGCCCAAGTCCCTCCACAATGCACCTCAAAGGACAGTGAGGCTTGGGGACATAATTCCCTTAGAAGACCCCACTAGAAAGGAAAGCCAGAGTGAGGGAAAGGCAGCACTCAGTGCTCCTGGCTGTTATTACCCCAGCTGGGTCCCTTCATCCTCAGTTTTCCCTTTCCCTCGTGTGCTCGCCAGGACTCTCCCAATTTGCTCTCAGTTCAGTGTTAGTGTGGCCCCTGGTCCAGGGCCTTTCAGCCTCTGAAACCCAAGTCAAAAGGAGAAAGGCCCTGCTGAGGTTAAAGAAATGGGCCACGAGGGATGATGGAGAACAAACCCTCCAGCTGTGTGTCATAGAATATAAAACCAGAGGATGGTTTCATTTGGAACGGACGTTAAAGCCCATCCAGTGCCAACCTGTGCCATGGGCAGGGACACCTTCCACTAGCCCAGGTGGCTCCAACCTGGCCTTGGACACTTCCAGGCATAGGGCAGGTGTCCACAGCTTCTCTGGGCAACCTGTGCCAGGGCCTCACCACCCTCACAGGAAGAATTCCTTCCCAATATCCCATCTAGCCCTGCCCTCTGGCAGTGGGAAGCCATTCCCCTTGTCCTGTCCCCCCAGGCCTTTGTCCAAAGTCCCTCTCCAGCTCTCTTGGAGCCCCTTTAGGTACTGGAAGGGTCTCCCTGGAGCCTTCCCTTCTCCAGGTGAACCCCCCCCCCAGCTCTCCCAGCCTGTCCATAGTTCCAATTCTTGTCTCTACAAAGAACAGCCATTTTACAGCAGTTCACAAGGGGCGAGATTTGTGCAGGCACCGCTGTTTTCCTGAGAGCTGCAGCCTCTTCTCTGAGGGCTGTTGGGCAGCACCTTGGATTCAAGTCCTCTGGGTGACATCTGGGAAAAGTCATTTTGGCCAGCAAAGTCATTTTGGCCAGCAAATTCAGCTGAGATTTCAGAAACATGATTTTCAGAGGGATCCAAGTCGTGAACACGAGCTCTGCCTGTCCAGTCCAAAGTATCTCAAGCCTGAGCTACTCATTCCAAAGATGCATTTGAAATATTGGGCTTATTGCAAGTAGAGACCTGAAAACTCTCCGTGTCCACTGCACATTCATTCCCTCCGGCTTTCCCACCTCGGGAGACTCCTCTGCCTCACTCATTTGCATCCCAGATTTGTGGGAGAGGGGATGAGAGAGATTTCTTTTCACGGAGGAAGTCTGACATGAACTTAGAAGCCACAACAGGAAAGGTCACCGTTTGATCGAATCGCTCCGAGTTGTTTTCCACCCCCTACTCGGAGCAGCCCTCTGGGCTCGGTAATTAGCGACGGAGCGCAGGGGGAGCGCGCTGGACTTTGGCCCCATCTGACCCGATTCGTACAACACGGCTGATTAATGCACCTGGTCACATGGCAGCTGCCAGCGACTTGTTGCTGGGCATCCAGAGGTTTCCAAGGGAACCGCTCCTTCTCCTGCCGCTGCTCCCCAACAAGTGCGGGAGAGCCGCGCTTCGGCTCCGAGGGCCGGGCGGGAGGCGGGAGCGAAGGCGCGCGGAGGAACACCCAAAAAAGAGGAGCACCCGCGTGGAATTTAGGGATGGAGCGGCTCGGACAGGTCCTGTGGGATCGCCGAGCCGCGGGCTCAGCCCTCCCTGTGCACCCTCCCACAGCTATCCCAGCCCACGCTCGGGCACGATCCCACCTCCCGCATCCCACCCCAAACCGCATCCCAAACAAAACAACAGCTCCGTGCGAGTCCAGACACGCTCCCAACCCCCGGGGATTCTCCTCCTCCCGGAGGAGCCCCAGCACACGTTTGAGACCCTTTTGCCGAGGTGTGTTTAAAACTCTCTTTTAACCGCAAAGACCTCGGTCCGGTCCCCCCGGGCGCTTTCCACCGCTGCGCTCCCGGCTCCAGCCTCCCTTCGTGGGCTGGCACAGGGTTCCCGCGTACACCAATCTCCTGTCCCGCCCCCAAAATCCCTCTCCCTGCACGCGCAGCTGGAGCGCTGCCCACACGCGGGCGCGGCGGCTTCCACGCACCCCCGGCAGCTCCTCACACCTCCCTCCACACGTCCTTCCCCCTGCGGGCATCTCCCGCTGGGCACTGCACACTCACACCCCTCCTGCCCGCGATTCCCGCTGGTTTGCACACAGACCACAGAGTCAGAGGCGTGGTCGAGTTGGGAAAAGGTCTCTAAGACTGCCAAAATCTACCTATAAACCTTCTTTCGGTGCAAAGGGAAACTGAGGCACGGGCAGCCCCTGCAAAGCTCCCTGCAGTGCAAACACTCCCAACCACAGCTCTGAACGTGGCAGGAGGTGGCTCCAGGACAGAGAATCACAGGATGCTTTGGGTTGGAAGGGACCTTAAAGATCATCCTGTTCCAACCCCCCTGCCATGGGCAGGAACGTCTTTAATCAGATCAGGTTCCTCAAAGCCCCATCCAACCTGCCCTCAAGTGTTTCCAGGATTGGGGCATCTACCACCTCTCTGGAAAACCTTTGCCAGTGATTCCCCATCCTCACCCTGACATATTTCTTCCTTGTGTGCACCCTGACGTGAGGCTGCCAGCACCACCCAGGGCGGGTGGCAGTCGGGTGGGTACCACTCTTCCTGGCTTTGGAGAAAGCAGCCTGAGCAGAGGCACTGCTTGTCTGCAGACAAGACCCAGCAGAGGCAGCAGAGCGTCCTGCCAAAGGCAGGGCCAAGTGCCACCCTCATTTCTGGGCACACACACTCCCATTCCCACTCGCCCTGAGCACACAGCCAGTGATGCACCTCTCCCCTCCCTCGCTGTGCCTGCACCCAGGGATGTGCATCCCACGTCCACCAGCACCCCAACACCCCCAGCAGGGACTGGTGCTGCTGTGCAGCCCCTCATCCCTGCTCCCCTTCCTTCCACACTGTCTCACATGTGCTGTACCCAGTGCCCAGGCCAGCAGCTCTTGGCAGGAAAACCCAATTCCCTGAACCTGCGAACACAGTTGGCTTGGCAGCAGCTCTGCTCTGCAACACCCGCCTTCCAAACACTCCAGCAGCCCTACACCAGCAAGTCCTTCCTCTTTTCCCTTTCCCTGTGCTGGAGGAAGATGTGGAGGGGGGTGTGTGTGCACTGTCTGCTCCCACAGCACCTTCCCAAGCTCGTTAATGCTGCTCTGGTTTGGTTAGTCAAGGGATAAGTGTCAGCCACAACGAGAGATTGTCAGTGCTGTGCCAGGAGACCTTCCATTCCCATCCCTCACACACCTGAGCCTGCAGTCAGCTCCATTCCACCGACCTTTGTAGAGCACCACTGATTTATCCCCTCTGACACAACTGTTGGCGTTGCTGAAGGACACAAATATCCGGGGAAACGTGGCTCAAACATTTCCTCACACCCCTCACCTCCTAAAGTCTCGCTCTTTTTTTCCCAGCCTGGCTAACTCTTTGCATCAAACTGCTTTCAGGAGATGCTCTCCCACTATCTTTTATCTAATCTTCCAGACTGCAGCCTGTGCCCGCAGGAATAAAAGGTGTGAGTGGCTTTATGTGCCAAACT